TGTGTGTGTGTGTGTGAGGATGATTTTGAAGATGAGATCCAAAAGGTTCCCCTGAAGATGATAACATGATATGATGAACTACTACTAGCCACTAAATGGACCTTGTTATTGCTTTAAATGGTAATAATAACATTGCGTGATATTTCATCATAATTGTGAGACGCTGTAATAATCAGGTTGATTTAAAGTAATCCTCTGGTGTTTTCCCGACACACAGACGGATGAAAAGCAGCTGAGACGGATCAGTTTAACGTACTGCCGTCATGGAGGATGAAGCTTTTTCTTTTAACAATCTGGTTCTTTGTGAGTGGCGTCGGAGGCTGCAGGAAGAAAGTTTGCAAACGTGACGGAGGCGGGGGACGACCACAAGTCCGTCTGTCCAGCCAAAGGAGGGATTATCGTCTCCTGACAGTCCGTTTGAAGTGAAGAGGCCTTCAGCACAGAGAGGATTTGGTTAATTACAAAGTGCCAGTCATGATCACGGCAGGGCGTTTCTTCTTCATGTTCCTGTCAGCTGCAGCACGATCACTTATTATGAATGAGACGGGAAAGTAAAAGCTCCTCTGTGGAGACGGAGGCCGGCGGGTCAGACGCTTCATTAATAAACCAGCAGCAGCAGCAGCAGCAGCAGCAAAAACGAGGAATTATATCAACCACAGAGGTTAAATTCACCTTCACCTCCACAAACTGTCTGAAACATCAGTCTGACCGCGATCAATACGATCAACACATCTCTACTGACAATACAGCACACACAAACATCCTCAATAACATCAATAACAGATCAGTAGTCAAACTAGACGATAAAAATCAGCATATAATGAATTTATATTGATAATAAAATATTAATAGAGCTGTGTTTGCTACATGGATGATTAGCTGGCGATTAGCCATTAGCTAAGTGTTGTGCTTTTATTGTGAAGGAGCATGAGTGCTTTTATTATAAAAGAATGTGAGGGCTTTTATCGTGAAGCAGCAGGAAGTCTGGCCAGAGCTGAGATGAGGTCACCAGTGCCCGGACTTGGTGGGGTTTTTTGTTACCGATGACATCATTGTAAGGGGGCAGGGCATAACTGAGGGACTAATGTGTGGGTGGGGATTACATTGTGGGGAGGGGCTTGTCACAGTGGGGGTGGGGGGGGTGTCTTACCTTTGTGTGTCAGACAGCGGATGCTCTGTTTGCTCTGGACGTCCCACAGTCGAACGGTCTCATCATGAGAACCAGAAAGTAGCAGAGTCCCGTCCATTGACACCGACAGACACGTGACCAGGTTCCTGAGGGGACATATAGACTGACTTCAGATCACAGGGGGTTCCTCCTGAGACCAGGTTCGAGGTCTCTGGCACACAGCTAACAGCTATGATAGCTTCCTCTTTCCAATCAGAAGTCAGCTCTGTCAGGACAACATGCTATTGGTCGAAGTTGACGACAATCAACGCAGACTAGTTTCTTTTCAATAAAGTCTGAATCTGGTCTTAATTCAGTATGCTCTGGATCAATAAAGAACCTTCTGATCACATAGAATTGATTTTCTCAGTCATACCCAACTGTTCAAATTGTTTTAAACAAAGTCTTTTTGAGTAAACACAGACAGGCTGTTGTCTCACCTGTGCCCTTTAAAGACCTGGTTCCCGTCGCTGTCGGACTGGAAGGATTTGTCCCGACTGAGATTCTGCAGAGACACAAACGGCAGCTGTGATCCATTCCTCTGGTTACATTCATTACAGACGACCAATAGGAACAAGGATTGATTGATCCCAGACCTGCGGATCAGCAGTTCTAACTGTATTGATACCGTCCTTACAGCACTGTCCATAGGTTTCTACGCTCGGTTCACACCAGAAATGTAGTTGATACCAGTAAAATTCCACCGTTCGACACAGATTCAATCCTGATCAAGTTCCTCTGATTCCGATCCCCATTTAATATTAACGGAGTCCTGATCAATACATTTCCTTAATAATACAGGAGAATACACACTGAATCCTTGCCCCCGTCGCCAAGTGCTTGCTCATGGTGGTACTGTTGGGTCTCTGTAAATGTTATAAGGAGTTCCATTAAAGAGGACACACTCAGCAAGCCGCCGGCCAATCAGCATCGCGACACTCCACCTGCAGCCACTGTGATCCTTCATCTGAGTTTCCATGTAATACATTTTATGGTAGAGAAAAAGCAGATGACATGTAGTAATTGGTGACAGGGATGTGATTCGTCCTCTGCTGCCAGCCTTGACTCTGGACCCCAGGATGAATCAGAAGCTGCATGGCTCTGCATGAATACAAAACTCCGTTTCTGTTCCAAGGACTCCACTTGCTTAAAAATCCTGATCATTTAAAATGTACGCAGCAGAAACCTCGGCGCGTGCTTCAAAACTCCTGACATCCTTCGATCGTCCACAGCGAGCTGACTGTGTCATCGTATTGAGACTTCCGCTCCTTGTGATTAATCAGCAACGGGGTATTACCAAAATTAAAACGATCCTGAGCGAGGCAGGAGAGGACCACGCTCGCTGTTCTAAAAATATTAAATATTCTATCCCGGCGAGGTGATCACCCAGTCGCACCATCTGATTGCTAAATACAGGTTTTCAACTAGTCGCTGTCAGTTACATTCACAAACCAGCAACACTAAACCAAAACATCGTTTATATTCTGTCACAATACTGCAAAACTGAAACTAATAATAATAATAAATAATAATACATAGATAATACATACCTACATAATGTTTTATATTCTGTACACATACTGCATATACTAATACCATTCCACATAATTAACAATAATAATCTAACGCTAATAATAATCATATCACTATTAATAATAATAATAATACATAATATCAATAAGCTGGTGTGTGTGTTATGTGTTTTACCCCTTCACCAACGCGGTCTGATCGTACAGGATGCCCGTGGCGACTCTGGCCTGAGCTCCCATCATGCCACAGTGCAGGTCTGTGATTGGTGAGAGAGTGACAGGGACAGGATGTGGCGCGGTTCGGGGTGTGGCTTTAAATCCAGCGGATCACCTGAAACACAAACAGGAAACAGCTGTTTGTTTACGAAAACTGAGGTGCAAACTGTTGAAAAATTATTCTCCTGATGACGTTCAATCTCTTGTCCCTGATAATCTCTGTCTCTGAATCAATCTCTGTTTATGTAACCGTAATTATTCCTTCATTAATGAAGTTGGATGATTTTCGTGAGGTCGGTGCAGAATGAAGAAGCAGGGTTTGTATCTTATCGTGCTCAGCCATGTTCAATTGAATTTCAGAAAATGGTTAGTGACAAGGAACAATAATGCATCATTTCTGAACAAGAAGGACAGCAGTGTGGAATGTGCTTCAGAGCTGATACCTGTTCAGGTGAGTCTTACCTGAACAGACGTCCACACCCGAGCCCAGGAGTTGTCTTTTCCCCTCCCGAAACAAATGGCTGGCCGTCGTCTGTAAACCTTCAGAACAGGTGACTCCTGCCATTAGGTGAGCGACTGAGGGACAGACAGCAGCTTACCTGTGGACACTAAACCAATCACAGAGCGGTGTTATATAGCTAAAACCCAACAATCACCAGAGCGGTGCTTATATGCTGAAACCAAATCACAGACAGTGTTATATAGCTGGGAACGCAATCCAGAGCGGTGTTATATAGCTGAACCAATCACAGAGCGGTGTTATATAGCTGAACCAATCACAGAGCAGGTGGTTATACTAGCTGGACCCAATCAAACAGAGAGTGTTATATAGCTGAACCCAATCACAGAGCGGTGTACATATAGCTAAACCCACATCACCAGAGCGGTTTATATAGTAAACCAATCAAAAGAGCGGGTGTTATAGTAGCTGAACCAATCCACAGAGCGGCTGTTATATAGCTTGAACCCAATCAGCAGCACGCGCAGCGGTGTTTATGACTACGCTGGACCCAAATGCCACAGAGCGGTGTTATCATAGGCTGAACCAAATCCACAGAGCGGCTGTTATATTCAGCTGAACCAATCACAGAGCAGGGTGTTTACTAGCTGGACCGAATCACAGAGGCGGTGTTATATAGCTGAACCAATCAACAGAGCGGTGTCTATAAGATAGCTGAAACCCAATCACAGAGGCCGGTGTCTATATAAGCTGAAAACCCAATCACAACGAGCGGTGTTATACTAGCTCTGGACAATCACAGAGCGGTGTTATATAGCTGAGAACCCAACTCACAGCAGCGGTGTTATCATAGCACTCCCTGTGGGGGACAGAAGCGCCCCTATCAGGGCTGAGAGGTGAAGCAGTTTGGTTTGAGTGCAAACATCGAGCCAGATAGAATTAAAGCTGCAACTGCAAGGAACCAACCCCTTGTCTGCGTTATCCCAACTGTCCTTGTCCCTCTGTCCTCACCCTAACCAGGCTTGAGTACCCTGCTGTTTAACACAGTGAAGGTGTTTGATTATTGATTACCTGACGTCACCTTCCCTCTGATTATTAATTCTGAACCCCACAGAAGAAGACTCACCTCCACAAGGTCTAAACAGCCTCAGCAACGGCAGCAGCCAGGAACAGACCGTCAGTGTGAGGCGTCAGACAGGTGACCCACAGCCTGGACACACGATTTACTGCTGCAGCTGGTCCTACAGACAGAAAGTTACATCATAATACTGCAGTAGTCTTTGTGTACAAGTACTACTAATACCGTGTACAAGTACCTCCTAATACCGTGTACAAGTACTACAGTTATCCATTGACTCAGCCAACTAACACAGGAGCACAGTAACTCTGGTTATCGGTTACCAGGGCTTCCTGTTGGGGGGGGTAATATCAGGGACTCCTGTTGGGGGGGGGGGTATATCAGGGCTCTGTTGGCGGAGGGGGGGGGATATAATCAGGGCTCCTGCGTTGGGCGGGGGGGTATCTCAGGCTCCTGTTGCGGGGGGGGGGGAAAGGGGGGGTATACTCAAGGGCTCCTGTTGGGGGGGGGAGGGGGGGTATATCAGTGGCTCCCTGTTGCGGGGGGGGCCGACGGGCCCCCGGGGACGCGGCGGCGGGCGGGGGTCATTATATGCTAAGGGGCTCCGCTATTAGAAAACACAGGAAAAATCCGGGCAGACGTCTGACCTCGGTCACTCAGTGACCAGAGAAACACATCTCTTGTCGCATGCGCGCGCTCCGGGAGTCAGAACAATCGTGCCAAAAGACCGCCTGCACTCTTGTCTGTGGGGGGTTCGGTCTGACAGGTCAGTACCTATCAAACGTGGTCCAACGGAAGGAACAAGAACCAAAGAGGACAGCGGATCCACAGGGGGGCTGAGGACTCAATCATTTGCTGCAGGACCGGTGGGCGAGTGAAGCTGGCCCGTGTGGTCGATCCAAACAGACATTCATATATATATATATATATATAGTATATATATTTTTTTTTTTTATTAACAAAGCAGAAAATTCGGACTAATCAATAATAATCCTGTGTCACAGGTTGTATTAAGGACATATTGACGATGACAAGACCCGCTATCCAGTTTAAAATGGCAGATTTTTAAAAAGGGATTCTGGTGAATGTTGTGTCCCCCTATGCTTCCGGAGTCATTCAGAGTTTTCCCCAACCACCTATCCTGCCATGGGTGGCGTGGTCGGTGCGGGGACACGCCAGCAGGTGTGTACAATGTGTTTTTCAGCGTGTGTGTTGTAGGTTTGTTTGTAGGTGCGTCCAGCCTACCTTCCCTCCTGGAGTCTCAACCCACACGTCTGATCGAAGTTCTTGCCCCAGCATGAACGACATGCCAGGTACTGGGCCGCCCGAGGACGGGTGAAGTGTCCGGGCGACGCTGTTACCTCCGGTAGGACAACAGGCTGGAGCCCCGCTGTGCAGGGTTCGAACACCGGTGCTTCGTTCCACAGCTGAGAGCCGGCAGTCACTTGCTCACATGCGTCACCTCCAAAGGACGCCATGTGGGCATCCACCACACCAAACTGCACGCAAGCAGGGGGCACGTCATTTCCTGGACCAGGTGCACTGTGTGGGAGATGTAGTACGCGCAGGCAAACTTAACATAACTTCTTCTTTCCTTCCTTTTATGACGGAGTGCAATCATTTTACTTTGAAATTCATAAAACGCCATCTAAACTGGACCCGGAATATGACCTTCACCCGACACACACACAAACACAGGCACACATATACGTTAGAATATCTATATATATATATATATAATATATATATATATAATATATATATATATATATAATATATATATAAATATATCATATACATATATAAACTACTGTCTATATAATATATATATAAATATCTACATAATATCTTAGATTGAAAAAACTGATATCACGTGCTGCTGGATGAAGCAATTAATCAGTTTGTTATTCCCAGCTGAATATTTGACACATGATATCCAGCTTGTGTTCCTCTGAACTGAGTGCTGCCTGGGCTGTAAGCCCCGCCCCCGTACTGTTTAAAATCTGATAAATATATCTTGGCTCTATCTCAGCTATCCTGATAAAAATGAATGGAGCAGAAAATTAACATGAAAAACTATAGAATTTCTAGACTTTAAATGTCTCTCGCTGAGCTCCAACACCCGGCCGCTGCAAGGTACCAAAAAAATCATTAATGGATGTAATCCAAACAGTTCATTCAGTAAAGGCTTGAGAAACAAGAATTGTAAAATAATAACAATT